CCCCCCCCCCCCCCCCCCCCCCCCCCCCCCCGGGTCCCCTTCTCTCTCTATGGTTTTGTTCACACCAACAATGGAAAGAATTCCTACCCCACTTTATCCCCTCCCTAATGATTTCTGTCTATTGAGCTTTTCTCTGGAGTTCAGAGTCTTCAGACCACCCCCAACCACTAAACCGTCAATCCGTCCACAATATGGTATTATTGGTGTCATTTATTCAGAATTATGTTGCTACCAAACATAACTTTGCACAAGTATTCCCCTTTCGGCTCACAGGTTGGGACCATTACACTACTCTTTCTGTTTGTTTCACATTATCGATGTACATATTTTTTACACGTGTGCATCTCTTTTTTGTCAGCTTTTTTTACCCTTTTTTTTTTGTTGGTTTTTTTTTTGGGGGGAGGTGTTGGTTTGATTACAGCATCATTGTAACTTGTGGCATTCCAAAACTCAGGCATTAGAACCAGCTCGAGCTACCACCAGAAAATGATTCAAGTAAAAGAATAGCATTAGCAAGCAAGAAGAGATCATACTATATGTTGAAGTATCAATTTGCTCCGGAAGTTCCTTTATATCGACTTCAAACCTTGCTTGAACCTGTAAGAAACATTAAGTCCAAAATTAATGGATAATGAGAAGCTAATAGAATATAATTAGTGTTGACATTAATATCAATTGCAAAAGTGACTAGTTACCTGGTTAAGAACATCAGAGTCAGATGCAGAAGAAACAAACGTGATTGCAAGCCCTTTGGTGCCAAACCTACCAGCTCTGCCCACCTGTTAAGCATTGAAGGCCAAGCAGAGGTCAGCTGCAATTTTATTTTAAGACNACAAACGTGATTGCAAGCCCTTTGGTGCCAAACCTACCAGCTCTGCCCACCTGTTAAACATTGAAGGCCAAGCAGAGGTCAGCTGCAATTTTATTTTAAGACAGACGGACACTATCCGTACGTAGTCAATTTCAAGTGTACAAATGGGTCCTACCCGGTGGAGGTAAGTGTCAGCAGAATCCGGCATGTCATAGTTGATAACAATATTGACACGCTCAATATCAATTCCTCTTCCAACTAAATCAGTTGCAACAAGGATTCTTTTATGACCCTCCTTGAAACCTTTGTAACGAGTCAACCTGGAAAAGACAACTTTGAATAGTTAGCAATCCCTTGATCTATTTCTTTCCAAAAAAATTGATTTGAGTTCTGAAGTAGCTTCTCTGACCAGAAATCAATCTCAGAAGGATCAAAATCCACAAAAACCTTTTTCTTCAAAATTGACTTTTAATATTGATAAAGGACCCCAAAAGAATACAAGGAACATAAAGCCGAGAGCACGGCCCAGATCATTTGGACTACATGACACAGTAATGATTGTACATGCAATATGATTATATAACAAGAGAGAACAATATAAAAGCAACTTTTCTAACATTCATCAAACTAATAAGATTTAGGCCAACTTAGCAATCTTGACAACTGCAAACTAAGAAGCACAGACACTCTCAAGTCAAGAAGGTGATGTATCCATGTCGGACACTGACACTCTTACGACACGTGTCTGATACTCTTTCATCCATGTCCATAATTAAAAGATAAAATTTTAATTTCGGACACATCTCCGACACTTCTTTGATAACGTATCCGACATTTCTTTAGAATGTGTTTGCTACTAAATAATTAACAAGTGTTGAAATGTGATTAATAAAATTTAAAATTTGGAGAACATATAATTACCAATACTAGAAATGTTCAAGTTGTACTCCAATTATAATAATAATAAACAAAACATGTATAAGAACTTAGAAAAAAAGAGGAATTGAAAAAATGAGAGCACACATAAGATTATTGATTATTATGATAATGTTTTAGTATAAAAATTCACACAAATGACTACACATAAGATTTACTTATGATAAAATATTGAATCTTTTATGAATTGCATATTATTATCAATATATTTGCGATAAATTATATAATGCTATATATAACATATAATTTTTTATAGCGTATCTCCAACGTGTCCGTATCTTACTTTTTTAAGAAATGTCATGTCTGCATATCTGTATCGTGTCGTATCTGTGCTTCTTAGACTGCAGAGCATCTGTGCAAGTGTAGGTCACGCAAGATAGGTAGTAGAGATAGTTGTCAACGAGACCAATATTACTTGGATCGTAGGTCACTTTAGTACGTTGTACGGATATAAATGTATAGTACGATGGGATTAGCCTTAGCTAATATAGTTTTTTATATTACAATTTATTTTGAACTCTTATCTAAATCATTTTTACTACTATACAACATTATATATCATAGAACATGTATAAACACTAAATTAGTTACCATTTATCTTACATTTATCCTCAATTTTTTATTATTAAAAACAATATATAATTAAAAATTTATATACACAGTCAATTAATATGTATTTTATATTTGTGTTGTATATTCCAAAATGAATTGAGTTAAGGTTAATATTATAATATGGGGTCGAATATTTTGGTGATCTAAATTGCAAAGCCAACCTGTTTGAGATCAACGTATCCAGATCGTGGGTCGTTAGGGGTTTAGTGAATTTTGATAACTATAAATGAGACTACCTAAATGTAAGTCCGACTTATCGACAATCTTTTCATCTATAATACAAGAAAATGTTTGCATATGAGCTCCTAGTAAAACACACCAATAACATACATGTCAAATAAACCAAAACAAAAATAACACTAAAGAATGGAACTATAAGTTAGCATCACTACCTTGAATTATGTTGTTATGTACTTAGATAGGCATGCAAGTGTAGTACTGCTCTCATTGTGCGTTTGAGTTGAGTGATCTTAGGGCATGTATGGAGCTATAATGTATATCTTGTCTATTTTTGAAATATATTTTTACCTTAGGAAAAAAAACAGTTAGCATCACAGAACAATATCATATCATAGTAAAATAAACCTCCCCTGACAACAACAACTAAATATTAGATTCAACATACTTCCAAGTTCAACAACTTTTGTTGCACCTCTGCAGATGATTAGCCAGTGCAAGTAAAATACATATCAAACTTCACAAGTACGACATATTGCTTGCTTCCCATGAGTGGGTAGTATTGTCTATTGCTGCTACAAACTTCAAACTCCTACAGTAGCGGTTAATTTACCAGCCAACAAAATTTATGTTTTATCTACTTCCAACAATATGCATGAATGGCAGAACGTGTGCCCATGAAACAAGACAACAAATACCCAAACAGATGAAGAGGAGGTAAAATACAGAAATCAAAAGATACTAAAAGGGAGAATGCTGCACCAAGAGAGAAGGTAAAAACAATTGGGATGACCCAGAAGTTAGTCGATCCACCCAGGGCACATCAGGTAAAGACAAACTTTACCAAAATCATAGTAATTAAATCGTGTATTGGAAGCCGTATCGTATCGTGTATCGTAAGATACAGTATAATTTTAAATAAATAATAAAAAATATATATATACCTTTGGAAAAAAATCATACACTCATAACAATATAGCATTTCATTAATACTCCACCACCTATTCAAGTCATCAACATAGTTCACTAACATTATAATGCAAAGTTTACAATCATAGTTCACTAATTCAAACTTAAAACACCAAAGAGACTTTTAATCCAAATTTATAACATCCATTTTGAATTCAATCCATAAAATTAATCAAGATTCATAAATTTTTATACAAATAAAAAAATTAGTGTCTTATTTTGACAAAACGACGTCGTTTCAGAAAAAAAAAAAAAAAACAGATTTTGCGCGTATCGGTTGTATAGTACCGATACGTATCGTATCGTACATCGGACGATATGTATCGTATCGTACATCGGACGATACGACGCAAAAACGATACATAACTACGATCCGTATCGTAACGTATCATACGACACTAACAACTATGACCAAAATAATCTTAGCTTTTCAGAGGTGTCATAAAGGTCACAAATGGTTTGAGCAGCCAAAGCATGTATCCCACTTCATGTTGAATCCTTTAGTTTTATATCTAGTTTTGTGTCGTAAAGCAATATATGCCATTCCAGTCATGTAGTGAGCCCTTAGTTTTATATCTAGTTTTGCCTTGTAAAGCAAAATGTGACATTACAGTCCTGTAGAGTGAATATCAAAATGTAATAAATGCATGCATGTGTAGAACAGGACAGCTGTTAAAACGAAAGGGAAACTAGCCCGTTGTGTTAACATCATTCATTTCATAGGTTTGTGATTGAAGGAGTTTCAAACAAATAACATGGCCTGACCTGCACAAACAAAAAATAAAAGAGCACTTTTCCTCATAAACTGAAGTCAGAGTATATGAATACATGCCTTTCTTCCTGAGACATCCCAGAATGGATGCAGATAGAAGGGAAGTTACATTCAACAAGTAACTTGTTCAGCTCAGCTGCTCTATTGACACTTTTGACAAAAATGACAACTTGGTTGAAATCCAAGGCATCCAGAAGGTCATTCAGCTTGCGGTTCTTCTCCATCTCACTCAATTTAATGTAATGCTGACAAGAAAAAAGTGGCAGTAATAGAAGTCAATAAGTGACAAAAAAAATAACTATGGAGGCTCAACTAGAAATGTCAGAGATACCTGCACAAGTCCATGAAGAGTCAACTTGGCCTCGTCATCCACATAAATTTCCATTGGCTGAAAGGGCAAAGGCCATCATAAGGCAAGTCAAAGACCAACATCCTTCAAGCAGCTACCAACTAAATAAAAAGCACAATGCATAAACCTATTCATCCTTGACACGGCATAAGCAACGAGTATCTCCAATACAGTGGTCAAGTCATTCATCACATCCAATTAAATATCTCTCATCTTGTTTGTGCCACAAAACTCCAGTTTCATAAAAGAGAGATGGCTAAAAATTTCAACAAGGAAATTTTTAATAAATATTTCATAAAGATTTACATCTTTCTGGAAATTGTTTCATAGTAATTTCTCCATGTGCCTAGAAAAAGGGGATAAGCGGCTATTTGGAGGACACAAAAAAGGAATGAGATTCTGAGTATCATAGAGCAGGATTCCACCTTTTGAAATGTAAAGAAAAGCAACGGAGCCTCTAATTTTATCTTATCCGACAAAATATTTATCTAAGAACTGCCAAAATTAGGATCCCACTGTATTTTTTTGATAAGGATCCACAGTATATTTTTGATAAACCTCCACTGTAGTGTGTATCCTTTAATTTAAAAATACCAGATTAATCTGTCTGCATAGTTAACAGAAACACTAAAAAACTATTAGGGCCAAAAATATCCTTTGTCAACCAAAATGCAACATTTATATTACGTCTAATTTAAGGCACATGGCAAATTGAGGTGCTAAAGGTCTCAGCCTTGGCGAGGGGCAAAATTTGTGGCTCGGGCTTCATTGAAGCAAGGTAAACATTGTTGGATAACCAGCAAATGTTTTATCATTGACAAATCTTCAAACAAGGCATAAAAATTACGCGTTAAAACTAAGCATCCAAAAATTACAAAGCATCCAACCTTCAAATTTTCAAATAGTATATTATTCCAATTCCAAAAAAGCATGAGTATCCAAATCCCATCAAAAAGTAATATCTCAAATTCACAACATTTTAAAAACATCTCCGTCAAATTGTCAATGCAACTAAAAATTCATGTGTTATGTCTATGAATTTGTCTTCTGGTTCTTCTCTTTACCTCTCTAGGTACGAGTGGGGATCGCGTGTGGGGAGCATTTGAGCTTGTCTCATTAATAAAATAGCACCCCATAATGAGTTTGTAGGTCTGTCTCTCTAGTCATTGTAAATTGGTTTCAAGTTGAATGCTTTAACAAAAGAATCATCTTAAAGGGCAAAAAAAGGGCCCCTCAGTATCCTCAGATTAATCCCTGAAGTGCGCAAGGGGCACACCTCAATGAATTCACCTCGCCTGAAGCCAGTTGAGGTGCAACGGGTGTGCCTAGAGCCACCTTGAGCCCAGGCTCATGCCTGGGTGGGACTTTTAAAACATTGCATACTATCCTATGCACACCGTGGAGTGGGCAACATATCTCTAACCAACCCAAGATTCTCACTCAACCCCAAAATTGCATCGCCAAACCTGTCATGAACCAATACCATGCGGAAGATAGAAGCTATTATTTGAAACATATTACTAGATCCAGGCAATGATTCCCTTCCAAACTAAAGGAACCACACTAAGACCACCAAAATCTCAGTGCCTTAGATTCCACGGGGTCATACATTCCAGGAAAAAAACTGCTGAATCCAAAGAGTAAAGGAGACAGCATATTACATCTTGCATGAACTTCTTGCAAACTGGGCGAATCTCCTTGCTAAGTGTAGCTGAAAACATCATAACTTGCTTATCATGAGGGGTCATCTTAAAAATCTCCTGCACATCTCTCCTCATGTCTGTGGAATACAAGCAAAAGCAATTTAAAGTGAAACTTTTTTTATCTATACTTCGCTTAACCCAGAAGAAAGCTGCATGCTAAAATTTTAAAACTATTTGAATGAGAATATAAACAAATGCATACCCAGTGACTCAAGCATCTTGTCACATTCATCAAGAATAAAATGCCTCACATTCTTCAATCCAAGGTCCTTTTCTCTAGCAAGAGCCAATATTCTTCCAGGTGTTCCAACGACAATATGAGGGCATTCATTCTTCAATAAATCCTTGTGAATCTTGATATTGACACCACCGTAGAAGACAGCAACCTTAATATCAGGCAAGTATGTGCTGAACCTCTCAAATTCGTGACAGATCTGTAGCGTGAAAAGAATAAATGACAAGTGAGGAATCAGAATAACATTGGTGGAAAGAACATCATAGCGTCAGCAATGCATGCTTTATCCCAGGGCTTGGGGTGGAAGGCAGGAATTAGTGTAAATGTCAACATGCATGTGAATGCGATTACCATTTCAGCACTTGGACCTTTCAGAAATGCATCAACTGCAATGATGCCAATGAACAACTACATTTTCAAGCCATACCTGGTAAGCTAGTTCCCTTGTATGGCAAAGGACAAGGGCAGCAACTTGACCAGCCACCGGTTCAATCTGCTGCAGAGTAGATAGAACAAAAACAGCAGTTTTACCCATCCCAGACTTCGCTTGACAGAGGACATCCATTCCCAAAATAGCTTGAGGTATGCACTCATGTTGCACTAATGAAGAAGCAAACAAAATCCGAGCGGACGGATCTTCAGTAAATAAAAAATGACCTCCCAGATCCTTTAATGGAAATGTTTACCAAACCAGTTTTGTGGCCGAATTCAGGAATATGGAAGTAGTTATTACCTGAAAAATGTAAAATATAACAAGTCATTAAATGAGTGGTTGCACTCCCAAACCTATTTTGAATGACCAATACAGCCAGACGAGATACACATCGTGAAATATTGAAAACAAAAGGTTCCATTGACCAGGCTGCCAACATGTCCCCCTCACTATTAAAGAATGGTTAGCATCTTCCATCATATTAGCAAGCCAACAAACAAAAAATAAAATTATAAATGAAAAGAACATGAACAGATGATTGCATTTTGTACGGCTTTAATATTGGCAGGCCCTGCAAGCGTCCATATAGCCTTTTATCCCCATCAAAATCTAGGCTATTATATTGAAAATTTTAAAGGACATGCTAAACAAGACAATTTGCATCATGTATGATGATACCCTTGAAAATAACAAAACCATACTAACTAATCATGTCTTCCCAATTCCAGAACAAAATAAGAAAGAAAATTCCAGGAAAGGAATATATATTTACTCTATAACCTATAGGAAGAAGTGAAATTGATCCAAAAGAAACAGAAAAGGTGGCCCCCGGAAAAAAAAAAGGTCGATCCATAGACAGACCAGAAAAGCTCAATTTCAGAAGGTTTAAAAGCATTCTGTCTTCGTAGGCCAAGCAAACCAAAGTAGATAGCATCCTGTCAGCATAAACATACTTCAAATTATCTTGCACATAACCCACACAAACACACAAGATTGAACAACTAGCAAAGCAATTCGTCAATCCAAAGCTTACATATATATTTCATGTACTGACCAAGATCACTTCCACATGAATGCTGAGTAGGACAGCTACCCCTTTACTTTCCTTTTCTTCTCTTGGTTCTTTATTTTTCTTGGTCAAACGTGATTTTTTCCTAAATTATTGGAGTTTCTAACTAGGCTTTCAAATGCCTAAAATTTTCACTTAATTTTGGTTTTCATAATTAACTACTCGAGTAGCATCAATTACTATAGATAGGTTTTCAATTACTATAGATAGGTTTTTTTCCTTAAATTCAGTTTTTTTTTTCTAAGAAAATTCAGTCTAAAAGTAGACGCAACAGTATTACCACTTAACAAACCCAATCCCAAACTCATCACTCCAAAAGCTTTCCTCAGAGCTATCTACAAAACCATAGCATGATCCCCACGTGTGTGTGTGTGTGCGCGCGCGTCTATCCCTCTCTAAAACCCAAAATTTCAAATCCTCTGTTATTCTAACTCTTTCTAACTTCAATTTTTTCTTTTTCTTCGGGTATTCAGTCTTCATCTATTAAAGCATCACTAATTGCAGGTATCATATTTACATTATGATTTTGTATCATTTCTTTAAGCTCATAGAATTGATACAGTCTATGATCACCATAGAGTAGAAAGTAAGCCTCCTCTTCATTTTTCTGCACTCATACAGTCGGCCATACCAAATCCCAGTGTGTCAGGGTTGCCTTTTTTTTAATTGATTCTCTTGGATTTCATCTAAGGGTACAATTGTATCTACAAAGAAAAATAGGTTCAATTTACTTTTTCATGTTCTTGTAGACTATTTCTTTCCTTGCAATCCTAATCATAAGTAAGAAAATTTTTTAACTTTTTCTATGACTTTCATATATCAATGTTCTTGTATAATTTTATGTTGTATCTCTTATTTTTTCCATATTTTGTATCGATGATTTATGTTGTTCATGAACAAGTATCAGAGGCAGAGGCAGAGACAACTTTAAGCAATGGCATGTGCTCATCTGTCCAAGAGATATGTCACACATACGACGCGTAAGAGGAGGTTGTCATTCGAAAGGAAATGCCATTTCCCCCCTTTTCCCTCACCATACTCTTTCATCTCCGCTTAAGCTTCACTGGTTTGGAGGATTAATTGATAGAAAACCAATGTATTCAGCGGAACAAAAGAAAAGGAATGGGAAAAGTTTTAGAGGAAAATTAAGAATTGGCATCAACAATATCACTTGTCTCTCAAAGAACCTGCTATAAGCAGAAACTTTGTCCACTCGGTATGACATCGACAAAGATCATAGGCAGCTCAATCCAAACAGCGCTTTGAAACGTCCATTTTTCAAAGGTGTATCAAGAATATAATCCTTCAAAGATTTGCATTAACAACTTACAAGAAAGCTGCCTATAGAAAAATTCCACATTGCCCACTTCAAATAATTAGAAGTAAATATATCAAAGTCAAAATCTTGCCTTCTGAAGGATGTTCAAACCCCGAATCAACAATAGCTCGAAGAAGCTCTGGCTTCAAAAGGAAGTCTCTAAATCCCGAACTGTGAATTCCAACATAGCCCCTGCACAGAAAAAATCAAGTTGCTTTAACACATTGTATCAACAGAAGGAAGGTTATGTCATTATGATTACCACAAAAGAAAAAATTCAAGCAATAGTATACATTAACTACCATGTCAACTTAATACATGCACATGCAACTACAAGAAGCGGGAAAAGCATGCACATACAGGTCCCTCCAAAACGACATGGACTCCCTTTCCCTATAACCCAACTTTGTAGGAGGCTTTTGAGCTCAATCATCAATGCGATTTCTAGATTTAAACGACATGGAATTAACAATAAGATATTTGCCTGAGTAGATATCACATTAGGATCAAAGCAGTTAAGAAACAAGAGAGAAGATCCAGGGAGTACACTCGAGTGGCATGGTGTTGGTTTGGGATGGTGGTTTGTGTATTTGATGGTTGTGTGGGGTGTTTCTTGTTCTTGGCTAGAAAAAAAAGGAGGTTNTAGGATCAAAGCAGTTAAGAAACAAGAGAGAAGATCCAGGGAGTACACTCGAGTGGCGAGGTGTTGGTTTGGGATGGTGGTTTGTGTATTTGATGGTTGTGTGGGGTGTTTCTTGTTCTTGGCTAGAAAAAAAAGGAGGTAAAAAGTAAGCTAGAGAAAAGAAAGAAGATAAGTGGTGGGCAATTCATCAAGGTACCCAAAGACAAGCCATTCAGTTGCTTTAGACTTATATGAGCAAGTTAGTGTGGTAAAAACACTAGAGGAAAGCCTCAAAACTAGTTTAAATACATAGTTTTCATATCAGGGCACAAATTTGAAAAGGATCTCACACAAATGAAAATGAGCACAGACAAAGGGAATGATCCATCTTCGGTTGCTGATTAGAGTTGGGAATAAAAAAACGGATTCAAAATTTGAAACTGCAATTTTTCCACTAAATGGGCCCGAAAAGCCATCAACCAAGTCAACTATCCAATCACTGCAATTCAACTCAACTGCACAAAGATTTAATTATCAAGCTTGCCAAAAAATAAACAATTCCAATTTCCCATATAATCAAAGACAGACAAAAAACTAAATTTCCACTTTTTAAGTGTTTACCCTGCCCTTAAAGGCCCAAAAACTCCACTTCACTAACTATGACGCGGTTCAAGACAATCTAGAAAATAAATTGGCTTCATTTTGCTTAGCTTTTCTAACCACCCAAACCCCAATATTCATCTTTAAAAATTGAAAAAAAAAAAAAGGTAATTACTTTTTGGCGGCATCGCCAGTGGCTTTTGCGTTGACCGAGTCGGGGGCTTTCTCGTCTTCCTCCTCGTAGTCGAGGAGTTCTTCCTCGTAGGCTTCGTTGTCCCTTACTTCACCCATGATCCTACAACATACGCAAAGATCGAACTGTTTAGGTTGAGTTCTCAAAAACTTCAGAAAAAGTGATACAAAACAATGAGGAGATTTTACTGGATATATGCAAGCATACCTTGAGCTTGAATATGAGAGTGTTTCAGTGTATTTAGAGTTTTGAGGCTGAGGCGTCTGCGAAAACAAAAATAGAAAAAAGAGAGAGAGACAGAGAGAGAGACAGAAGGGGGAAGACCCTCGGATCTAGTTTAGGATTAAGGGAGAGAGGGAGCGTAGGAGAGAGAACAGAGAGTCCGCTAGGGTTGCGAATGAAGATATATATATAAAGAGTGACTGAAATTCTGTGAAAATACTATCTTACCCTTGGTAGGCGGCCGCGTGCCTATCACCTATATCGCTTGACAAAAATATCTTCTCCCTCTTCAATTATTCAACTGTGAGGTTGTTCGAGATATTTTGTACGACCATCAATTAATCTCCTTCATAGGCTAATCAATGATAGATCATCAATAATAGAATTAAAATATTCCTAAGAAATAAGTTATTAGTCTTACTTAAAAGAATCCAAGATTAGAATTTCAAGATGTCTCTAGGATATCTCGATTTTATTTTTTTTTTGACAAAAAAATAATTATTAGGCTTTTGGGGTTGGTCGACATAAAAAATAGCCCCCACCCGTGATTGGATCGATGAATTAAGATATTTTTTATTGTCATTAAGAGTTAATTGTACTATAGATCTCTAAAGTATATGATTTATTTTATTTTAGTATCTAATATTTTAATTGCATCATTTGATCCTTAAAGTATTAAATATGTTTCTATATGGTTCTTCAAACAGACAACATCCAGATTGTTAGCGATTTTTTATTATAAATTTGTCACATATTACCTAAATATAGATAAAAAATAATTTTGGTAGCTCTTAACAAAAAATATATAATATGAGTTGTTTTTGATCAAAATTTAAATAACTCATTATTAAAATCATTTTTTTGTTCATATTTAAATATTACGTGACAAGTTGATTTTAAAAAATCCTTAACAATCTGTACGTTGTTTACTTAAAAGATCATATAGAAACACTAGTTATTGCCTATGCCTGAAGACACAAAGTAATAAAAAATAATAAATAATAAAACATATTTTTATTTATGTCCAAAATCAAATCACAAATATAGAGAAGAAATAAATGAATTTAAGCATCGATTTTGTAATTGAGGTGAGAGGTGGTGGACGACAGCAGTGGTGGTAAGAGACGGTGATGGTTTTGGTGTGTGGCAATGACCGTGGTGGCGGCTAGGGCTGCGACGATGATAGTGGCAGCGGCGGTAGCAACAGTGGTGGTGGTGGTGGTGTGGCGACAACGGTGATAGTGGGGCGATGGTGGCAGTTTGTGATGATGGTGGCGGTGGGGGTGGTGATGACAACGATGGTGGTGGGCGTGGCGGCGGTACTGCAGTGGTGTGGGTGGTGGCGACGGTGGTGGTGGTGGTGGCTATGGTGGTGGTGGCGGTGGCAATAGCGACAGTGTTGGCGGTAGAGGTAGTGATGGGTCGGTTTCAAACACTATTTTTTTTTAAGTCTTTATGATAAATAATTTTTAAAAATACTTTTAAAAAGTCACTTAAAACACACCCCTATGGCCGTATTTTTCCTATTAAATTAAGGGTGTTAATATTAGCCGTTAAATTAACTTTAAAGTAAAATTTAAAAAGATGTCAACCGTAAATAGAAAAAGTTATTTTATTTATTTTTTAAAATTTAAATTATAAGTTACTTTATTATATAGAAGATATTCAATATTTCAGATACTAAAAATAAGACAAATTTTATATTTTAGAGACCTCCGATACATTTAACCCCATCATTTATTCAATTTGACTCAATAGAAAATCGTCTGTCGTCTATGCACGAAAGACCCGCATATAAATGGTGGGTCTTGGTGAGTGTAACGTACCCTCCGCTATTCCAAACGAACAGCAGCACAATGTGCTGTGCCGAAAGACGACAACGTTTTGTGAGTTATGGCAACCAGCAAATAGCAATTGTAATCACCTGCCCACTGGTCAAAATTATAAACNGTGAGTGTAACGTACCCTCCGCTATTCCAAACGAACAGCAGCACAATGTGCTGTGCCACAAGACGACAACGTTTTGTGAGTTATGGCAACCAGCAAATAGCAATTGTAATCACCTGCCCACTGGTCAAAATTATAAACCTCTCAAGTACAAACTTTGCAATTGGAAAAACACATGGTAAAAGTTTATATTCAATTATTGTATCAAAAATTTATTTTTGGAATTAATTAGAGTACAAAAAAATTATTTTTTTGGTACAATATTTTAGCTTTTTCCAATGAAAAAAAAAAGTGATGCGTTCAAAATTTTTCTATTATATAACCAAAATACAGAATTATGACAAAATATGGTATCATATTTTAATTTTTCATCCGATAAAAATGTGTAAAATTTTTATATTTTATTTTTACAACACATATTTGAATCCATTAAAAATAAAAAATAAAAATCAATCTGATCCGAATAACTTTGCTAGACGAAAAGTAAAGTTATTATATTTCAAATTCGATCCCGAACATTAATCCATTATATTATAGTTTACGATTTTGAATATTGGATATATCTAGTTTTTATTGGGATTACTATCTAACATGAATAATATGCATAAAATAAAATAATTATTTAATGAGAATTTGTCAAAATTATTACGTAATTTGCTAAAACTCGATTTCAAAATTATTCGGATTAGATTGAATTTTTTATTTTAATAGATTCAAATTTGAATTTTTTATTTTAATGGGTTCAAATATAATTTTTTTTTTATTTTAAAGGATTCAAATATTCATGCTGGTTATTGATAAATCAACTTAGCCTAGTCTAGTTGACCATCTTTGACTTAATTTGTGATATTTTCACAAAGTTCCCTATAAATTCATAAACTTCCCCATCTCCACAGATTAGAAGTTGTCATTTCACAAACACTGATCGTCATATATAGTTGATGCTATTACACCACCTAAAAAAAGGGAAAAAAAAAAAAAAACAAAGTAGTAACAACTACTAAACTGAGTTACATACACAAAAATATGTAAGTCTCTACTTATTTGTTGATTTGGAGGCTGAAGCACCATAACAGTAATCGAACCCATACCAAATATTATTGGGTATAAATACATCGTAGTAGAAAATAACCGGACTTGTATAATACCCATAGACCTCCACAGAGTGTGGTTTCCAACCGTCGTAGCCACTCCTGTAGAGATACAAATAGCAAACCTGGTATGTACACGGTCCAACTACATCAAAAGTGTCCGTTGAACATCGTTCAAATGTTCTTGAACCTGGATCATCTAGCCTCGGCACGTAAACCTATGAATGATCATCCAAACAGTGACAATGTAAACAATCAATACCAATTTATCAGAATTAAAAGTCTCTTACATGGTCTGGTCTTAAGTTGAGAAAGAATACCAATCAATACGCATGCATTAATTTATATAGAAAATGTCTCTAGAGAATGGTAGTTGGGGGGTGGGGGGAGGACCAACTAAAAGGTAACAAGTGGAAACAAAAGTGCCAATCTAGGAACAACCCACTGCTGTTGCTTGGATGGGTCATGGGAGAAAAGCAGTTGTAATGGGTGCATATAAGGCAAAACCTCATAGAGGGAGGGGTATATGGAATTCTTGGTAGAAATCAAACTGGAACTAAGCTAATAAGGGACTCAGGTCAAATGACAACCCCATTGCTGTCCTAAATGCTGCAAAGTAGCAAGACAAGAGGGCTACCAATCCACCATTATGGAATCTTGTTCAAAAGTCCTTATGGATTCCCTTAAAAAAGGACAAGAGTAACGTTATTTAAACTTAAAAATCTAACACAATTTGATGACATAATGATACGGTTTTATAGGAATCATTGGATCAACACCAAGTTTCAATGTTTGATGGAGCCTACAGCCAATCCAAATGTCACAGTGAATTAAGTNAATACCAATCAATACGCATGCATTAATTTATATAGAAAATGTCTCTAGAGAATGGTAGTTGGGGGGTGGGGGGAGGACCAACTAAAAGGTAACAAGTGGAAACAAAAGTGCCAATCTAGGAACAACCCACTGCTGTTGCTTGGATGGGTCATGGGAGAAAAGCAGTTGTAATGGGTGCATATAAGGCAAAACCTCATAGAGGGAGGGGTATATGGAATTCTTGGTAGAAATCAAACTGGAACTAAGCTAATAAGGGACTCAGGTCAAATGACAACCCCATTGCTGTCCTAAATGCTGCAAAGTAGCAAGACAAGAGGGCTACAATGCACCATTATGGAATCTTGTTCAAAAGTCCTTATGGATTCCCTTAAAAAAGGACAAGAGTAATGTTATTTAAACTTAAAAATCTAACACAATTTGATGACATAATGATACGGTTTTATAGAAATCATTGGATCAACACCAAGTTTCAATGTTTGATGGAGCCTACAGCCAATCCAAATGTCACAGTGAATTAAGTTAGCAAATTAGGTCAGATTTTTAGATTCCAATAGCATTGCTCAAAGGACAAACTTGTAGTGTGAGAGCATCTCCAACTAGCTCTCATCTCCGTTCAGTTTTCTATTTAAAATAGTAAACGATTAAAAACCAATGTTCAATAGGCTCTCTACTTTTAAAAGCTAAAATAGAGAGTTCAATTTAATTGTCTACATTTAAATAATTAAACTCCATATTGAATAAAAAATTAATCCAAAAAAGGTAGTTAAGGTAAGAATAAGACGAGCTGTAAATTCAAAGACCTGAGTTCGAAACTTGACAACCACTTGAGACCAAGTCACGAGAGATTTATCTCTCGTGAATACCCTAGTCTCAATGTGGATGCCCTGTTTTTTACCTGACCAAGGAGAAGATTAGTCGAAGTGAGTGTAAACTGATTCAAACACTCCTGACCATTGAATCAAAATAAAAAAAATTGGCACAGACACCTTCTTTATTAAATACTATGTACCATAAACATCNAAAAAAAAAAAACAAAGTAGTAACAACTACTAAACTGAGTTACATACACAAAAATATGTAAGTCTCTACTTATTTGTTGATTTGGAGGCTGAAGCACCATAACAGTAATCGAACCCATACCAAATATTATTGGGTATAAATACATCGTAGTAGAAAATAACCGGACTTGTATAATACCCATAGACCTCCACAGAGTGTGGTTTCCAACCGTCGTAGCCACTCCTGTAGAGATACAAATAGCAAACCTGGTATGTACACGGTCCAACTACATCAAAAGTGTCCGTTGAACATCGTTCAAATGTTCTTGAACCTGGATCATCTAGCCTCGGCACGTAAACCTATGAATGATCATCCAAACAGTGACAATGTAAACAATCAATACCAATTTATCAGAATTAAAAGTCTCTTACATGGTCTGGTCTTAAGTTGAGAAAGAATACCAATCAATACGCATGCATTAATTTATATAGAAAATGTCTCTAGAGAATGGTAGTTGGGGGGTGGGGGGAGGACCAACTAAAAGGTAACAAGTGGAAACAAAAGTGCCAATCTAGGAACAACCCACTGCTGTTGCTTGGATGGGTCATGGGAGAAAAGCAGTTGTAATGGGTGCATATAAGGCAAAACCTCATAGAGGGAGGGGTATATGGAATTCTTGGTAGAAATCAAACTGGAACTAAGCTAATAAGGGACTCAGGTCAAATGACAACCCCATTGCTGTCCTAAATGCTGCAAAGTAGCAAGACAAGAGGGCTACAATGCACCATTATGGAATCTTGTTCAAAAGTCCTTATGGATTCCCTTAAAAAAGGACAAGAGTAACGTTATTTAAACTTAAAAATCTAACACAATTTGATGACATAATGATACGGTTTTATAGGAATCATTGGATCAACACCAAGTTTCAATGTTTGATGGAGCCTACAGCCAATCCAAATGTCACAGTGAATTAAGTTAGCAAATTAGGTCAGATTTTTAGATTCCAATAGCATTGCTCAAAGGACAAACTTGTAGTGTGAGAGCATCTCCAACTAGCTCTCATCTCCGTTCAGTTTTCTATTTAAAATAGTAAACGATTAAAAACCAATGTTCAATAGGCTCTCTACTTTTAAAAGCTAAAATAGAGAGTTCAATTTAATTGTCTACATTTAAATAATTAAACTCCATATTGAATAAAAAATTAATCCAAAAAAGGTAGTTAAGGTAAGAATAAGACGAGCTGTAAATTCAAAGACCTGAGTTCGAAACTTGACAACCACTTGAGACCAAGTCACGAGAGATTTATCTCTCGTGAATACCCTAGTCTCAATGTGGATGCCCTGTTTTTTACCTGACCAAGGAGAAGATTAGTCGAAGTGAGTGTAAACTGATTCAAACACTCCTGACCATTGAATCAAAATAAAAAAAATTGGCACAGACACCTTCTTTATTAAATACTATGTACCATAAACATCATTTTTCTGTNTTCAATGTTTGATGGAGCCTACAGCCAATCCAAATGTCACAGTGAATTAAGTTAGCAAATTAGGTCAGATTTTTAGATTCCAATAGCATTGCTCAAAGGACAAACTTGTAGTGTGAGAGCATCTCCATCTAGCTCTCATCTCCGTTCAGTTTTCTATTTAAAATAGTAAACGATTAAAAACCAATGTTCAATAGGCTCTCTACTTTTAAAAGCTAAAATAGAGAGTTCAATTTAATTGTCTACATTTAAATAATTAAACTCCATATTGAATAAAAAATTAATCCAAAAAAGGTAGTTAAGGTAAGAATAAGACGAGTTGTAAACTCAAAAGACCTGAGTTCGAAACTTGACAACCACTTGAGACCAAGTCACGAGAGATTTATCTCTCATGAATACCCTAGTCTCAATGTAGATGCACTGCTTTTTACCTGACCAAGGAGAGGATTAGTCGAGGTGAGTGTAAACTGATTCAAACACTCCTGACCATTGAATCAAAATAAAAAAAAAATGGCACATACACCTTCTTTATTAAATACTATGTACCATAAACATCATTTTTCTGGNCTCCCCAGATTCTACAACCCAGAAACAAAAGTCTTAAATGATATATAAATTGCTTAAATCTCTCTCTCTCTCTCAAACTACCCTTTAAATAGAGGTATATGTATACTACTTAATAGAGGAAATTATCCTACCTGGGTAGTGTTGACCTTGAAGGATGAGCGAGGTTGTGGCCGTGGAATGATAGAACTTGCTTGTGAGGAGGTGAGGGTGAAGGCGAGGAGGAGAAGAAAATACACTGCTCTAATCATTTTCTCCAAAACCCTAATGATGAATGAAAGATCTATCTCTCTCAGCAGACTCTTTTATAGGCAATGGTGTTGTGGTGGTACACTGGTAACTGCAGAACCATTTGTGAATTGTGATCTCCCACTAGCTGGTAGCCGAACACCAAGCCACACAAAGGATAAACCAGTATAATTCCTGTAGGGCCGTTGAGAGTTAGTTGAGCATTGACCGTAAAGAGATAAAATTACATCCACATCCTTTGACATTCAGATAAGTTCCAGGTAAGCCTGTGGCTTTGGATTAGATTTTGATTGATCCGAATTGAGCTTCGATATCAAAAGTCTGACCTGAATTTGATTCGATAATTCGATGAATTTTATTTTCGTGGTTCATATCTAAATTCGTAGAAATTCAATTCAATAATTCAATCTCATCCGAATAACTTAATTAATTAAAGTTTAACAAATTATACATAGATTTCAACTAAATTTATTTAAATAATCACTTAATTTCTTTATTATTTATATAAAAATATATGATCGGATCGGATATGTATGTATATCAAATTTCGTAAAATATAAGATATTGGATTCTAGTTTAAATTATCGGTAAAAAATATTAATCCATGTCTAGATAATTGGATTTGAATTCGAATAAGTATTCAATCCATTAAAAAGCCTAGTTCTCGGGCACACTCTTTGTCTTCTTTTTTTTGATCTTATTTTTTAAAAATTTCATGACACAAAATATGATTAACAATTGAGTAGTGTTCGAGTCGTGTCTTTTCATGTACGTGGCAAAATATTAATCAATTTTAACTCAACTCGGTTGATTAATCGTGTTCTAGAAGTTTAGGTAGGCCAATATATAGTTTGACAAAAAACTTAACACCAATGCTAAAGCTTGTCTAGCAAATAATTGCATTCACTCTCAATTAGCTTAAAAAAACACGTGATTAAAGTTATTATTACTGTTGGTGATCTAGTGGTAAGACATGCCCGTCTTTAGGTCATATCTTGACTTCCATGTGGTTAGCAAGTAGGGTTTGATCCACAAGATCTCCATATTTTTATTACTTAGACTCTGGTGATAGTGTGGTGACGAACTATTCTAAAAAGGTCAATAGCTATGATTAATCGAACATTCTACATCTAAAAAAGGCCCTCATGGTCATTCTCAGAGGGATCACTACCTATTGGTCTCCCCACTCCCTCTTATTCTATCTTCAAAATAAAAAAAAAAGTTATTTCTACACAACTTTTTGCTTTTGTTTTTATTGTTTTTGTGTTTTTGATAGTGGAAAAGAGTAGAAAAGAAGCGACAGGNAAAAAAAATGTATTGAAAAGATCTTAGTCCAATCAATGTTCCGTTTAACTTTCCAGTAATATTATACAACTCCAAGAAATCAAAAAAATTATAATTCACATGCATATCATCCTTGAATAAATATATCTCATTAACTTTTTCAAGGAGTCTCGCTCGTCAAAGGAATAATATCCATACTTGAGTTACACTTTTTAAATTTTATTTGAGTTGTATAGTATGTTTCTTAATTTTTTTTTTTTAATAAACCCACTAATTCAAGAGTGCTAAACCCATTTGGGACACCAAATATGGAATCAAAGTATTCCCCTTTTTTTTCCAATCCCATAATGGTCGATTAACAACAAAAAACTTACTATATTTGCAATGATTGTCTACTTTTTCAATTAAAAAAAAAACAAGATTCAATCCCCATTTAAAAAATGTCATTCATGCTGTGGAAATTTTTATCAAAAATTTCTATTTAGGAAATATTTTCTCTTTATTCATAGGGTGGTCAAAAATTATGGGGAATAAAGGATTTGAGAATTTGTGAAGAGAACCTCGTAGCCATAAGCATCGCCAAAGTCCAGACTGATGTGGTCATACGTGTACTTGGGTGAAGAGCAGCTTGTGGTTATTATCACCGTGTAAGAACAGCTCCCCAGATTCTACAACCCAGAAACAAAAGTCTTAAATGATATATAAATTGCTTAAATCTCTCTCTCTCTCTCAAACTACCCTTTAAATAGAGGTATATGTATACTACTTAATAGAGGAAATTATCCTACCTGGGTAGTGTTGACCTTGAAGGATGAGCGAGGTTGTGGCCGTGGAATGATAGAACTTGCTTGTGAGGAGGTGAGGGTGAAGGCGAGGAGGAGAAGAAAATACACTGCTCTAATCATTTTCTCCAAAACCCTAATGATGAATGAAAGATCTATCTCTCTCAGCAGACTCTTTTATAGGCAATGGTGTTGTGGTGGTACACTGGTAACTGCAGAACCATTTGTGAATTGTGATCTCTCACAAGCCGGTAGCTGAACACCAAGCCACACAAAGGATAAACCAGTATAATTCCTGTACGTCCGTTGAGAGTTAGTTGAGCATTGACCCTGAAGAGATAAAATTACGTCCACATCCTTAGACATTCAGATAAGTTCCAGGTAAGCCTGTGGCTTTGGATTAGATTTTGATCGATCCGAATTGAGCTTCGATATCAAAAGTCTGACCCGAATTTGATTTGATAATTGGATGAGTTTTATTTTCGTGATTCATATCTAAATTCGTAGAAATTCAATTCAATAATTCAATCTCATCCGAATAACTTAATTAATTAAAGTTTAACAAATTATACATAGATTTCAACTAAATTTATTTAAATAATCACTTAATTTCTTTATTATTTATATAAAAATATATGATCGGATCGGATATGTATGTATATCAAATTTCGTAAAATATAAGGTATTGGATTCTAGTTTAAATTATCGGTAAAAAATATTAATCCATGTCTAGATAATTGGATTTGAATTCGAATAAGTATTCAATCCATTAAAAAGCCTAGTTCTCGGGCACACACNTACACCTTCTTTATTAAATACTATGTACCATAAACATCATTTTTCTGGGGTTTCTACATAAAATTTCACCCTCTATTTCAAAATTTATCAAAGATGCTCCAACGGAAGTGGAAACTATTCAAAGAGATCTAACATTATGCACAACACCTCCCTTCAATTTAATTTAGAGCTACCAAGATGTCAGGCAAGAATGAACACCTTCCTCCAAGCTACAATTCACCAAGTAAGCTGCCTGGAATTATCTCAAAAACAAACTGGAGGAGGAATTGGCTAACTATTAAGTATGACTTAAGCTTACACTCTGTTTTTTTTTTCTTTTTGCATAAGCGGAGATTCCTCAAATATATTTTTCTTTCAATTTCTTTCTTTAACTAATCATCACGAGTGAGTGACCCACTTACCATCACTCACCTCATGAATGAGTGAGTGACACACTTGAATACAATAAGTCCCACTTAAATACATTACAATTGATTCACCATGAAAGAAAAAGAAAAAAAAAATGTATTGAAANGTCCACATCCTTAGACATTCAGATAAGTTCCAGGTAAGCCTGTGGCTTTGGATTAGATTTTGATCGATCCGAATTGAGCTTCGATATCAAAAGTCTGACCCGAATTTGATTTGATAATTGGATGAGTTTTATTTTCGTGATTCATATCTAAATTCGTAGAAATTCAATTCAATAATTCAATCTCATCCGAATAACTTAATTAATTAAAGTTTAACAAATTATACATAGATTTCAACTAAATTTATTTAAATAATCACTTAATTTCTTTATTATTTATATAAAAATATATGATCGGATCGGATATGTATGTATATCAAATTTCGTAAAATATAAGATATTGGATTCTAGTTTAAATTATCGGTAAAAAATATTAATCCATGTCTAGATAATTGGATTTGAATTCGAATAAGTATTCAATCCATTAAAAAGCCTAGTTCTCGGGCACACACTCTGTCTTTTTTTTTTTTGATCTTATTTTTTAAAAATTTCATGACACAGAATATGATTAACAATTGAGTAGTGGNACTCTTTGTCTTCTTTTTTTTGATCTTATTTTTTAAAAATTTCATGACACAAAATATGATTAACAATTGAGTAGTGTTCGAGTCGTGTCTTTTCATGTACGTGGCAAAATATTAATCAATTTTAACTCAACTCGGTTGATTAATCGTGTTCTAGAAGTTTAGGTAGGCCAATATATAGTTTGACAAAAAACTTAACACCAATGCTAAAGCTTGTCTAGCAAATAATTGCATTCACTCTCAATTAGCTTAAAAAAACACGTGATTAAAGTTATTATTACTGTTGGTGATCTAGTGGTAAGACATGCCCGTCTTTAGGTCATATCTTGACTTCCACGTGGTTAGCAAGTAGGGTTTGATCCACAAGATCTCCATATTTTTATTACTTAGACTCCGGTGATAGTGTGGTGACGGACTATTCTAAAAAGGTCAATAACTATGGTTAATCGAACATTCTACATCTAAAAAAGGCCCTCATGGTCATTCTCAGAGGGATCACTACCTATTGGTCTCCCCACTCCCTCTTATTCTATCTTCAAAATAAAAAAAAAAGTTATTTCTACACAACTTTTTGCTTTTGTTTTTATTGTTTTTGTGTTTTTGATAGTGGAAAAGAGTAGAAAAGAAGCGACAGGCAGCAACATTTCCACCCCACATATGTCATCAATTTTACTTTCATTCCCCCCACAATGGATGCACTGTACAGACTTCAGGCACTTCCTTTCCCATTACTGGAATTAACTTTTTTTAAATATTATTATCTTGATGTAGAAATTTAAGTTATCAATTCAAAGGCAGTTCAAGTAGTAAAAAAACCGATTTGTTAATTCAAACGTTCAGAATTCAAATCTCGACAATTTTTTGAATTCAGACCATGAAAACTTTAACTCTTATAAATATCTTAATCTCGATATGAATTGGTTGAGTTTGACAAATTAGGAAAGAAATTAGTTGAGNACAGACTTCAGGCACTTCCTTTCCCATTACTGGAATTAACTTTTTTTAAATATTATTGTCTTGATGTAGAAATTTAAGTTATCAATTCAAAGGTAGTTCGAGTAGTAAAAAAACCGAGTTGTTAATTCAAACGTTCAGAATTCAAATCTCGACAATTCTTTGAATTCAGGCCATGAAAATTTTAACTCTTATAAATATCTTAATCTCGATATGAATTGGTTGCGTTTGACAAATTAGGAAAGAAATTAGTTGAACTGCGTATAAATTAATCCAAACACTCCTAACCATTGAACAAAAAAATATTTTTTTTGATTGACCTGAATAATAAAGTGATTTTATCCAGATAGATCCAAATAGATAGTAATTCTTTATCCATGAAAATATTACTTCGAGAATTCAAGTTCAAAAACCAACCTTAATAAAAAAAATAAAAAATCAACCTATCATTTAATTCTTGAGTAAATTACATTTACTCTCTTGAACTATTATTTTTGTTTCACTATGCACTCTAAATTATAAAATCTCTCACTTTGAACCCTAAAGTGTCAATTTTGNCATTTAATTCTTGAGTAAATTACATTTACTCTCTTGAACTATTATTTTTGTTTCACTGTGCACTCTAAATTATAAAATCTCTCACTTTGAACCCTAAAGTGTCAATTTTGTTTCATATCACTCTAATAGATAATGACAAACTTGAAAATTTGTTAAATGAGGGAGGAAAACCCCAAAGAACTTCCTACCAAGTGCTCAGAACTATTTTATNACTTGAAAATTTGTTAAATGAGGGAGGAAAACCCCAAAGAACTTCCTACCAAGTGCTTAGAACTACTTTAATTTATCTATTTTGCAACCAAATGATTGCTGAGAAAAAAAAAAGTTCGGCCAAAGTAAGAAAATTTGGATCTTAAAAGGAGCAAAATCGAGGATGGGTTTTTTTTTTTATAATTTTCATCTACACATGTGCAATAGACAATTGTTTAGTGACAATACAGACCACTCACATGTGTATTTACCATAAAAAAAATTGACAGTCACTATCTACTGGAGTGAAATAAAACAAAATTGATATTTTATAGTGGAATGTGAAAACTTTTATAGTTGAGAGTTGAAAGTGAAACAAATATAATAGTTCAACGGGGTAAAGTATAATTTACCCTAAATTCTTCCACACCTTAGTCTTAGTCACTAGGTGTAACAACATCATATTTGCTAATATATACATGTTTTCTTTTAAAGGATTTAGATGTTCTTCAATGATATCATCAATGACATAGGCTCAGGTACTGGCTTCAAGTTAGGGGGTCTGTGATCAATGAGGTTATGGAGTTCAAACTTCAAACCATTTTTCTCCCATGACAGATGAAGGCTTGAGTGGTGTTTGTTTCAGCCTCAGAATACCTTATTTCAAAGAAAAACCAAATACCACAAAACCTTGTCGCGCTGGTTGGTTCAAGTGGTATTTGAATCCATTCTAATATATTTTTTCTCTATACTAAGTCATTCATCGTGAATTCAACCAAAACTCACTGTAAATGATATATGATCTACCATTCAAAAATATAGAAAATTTGCTGTGATTGAGAACAGAGAAGTCTTCTAACAATTTCACTCCAATATTTTTTTTCCTTGTTTGACATTCTTCTTCTTTAAAGTACATTGATTGGGTTTCTTACCCATTCAGCACAACATATCCAATATAGCCCATTCGCCTCAGTGAATTTCTTTCTGAGAAGAACAGTCATTGAATTAATAGTCAAGTGACCACAACAAACTGATGCAGTTCACACAATACCAAATACACCACAATCCCAAAAGCATATGGCATCGATGGTATCCAATTCCCCATCTTCATAGGTTAGGGGTTCGACTCTGACCGTTATAGTTGATGTTATCACACCACCTTACAAAAAAGAAATTACTACATACCAAACAACATTGCAAATACAAAAATCAGTGCCCACTTCATTGTTGATTTGGAGGCCGAAGCACGATATGATCCACTACAGTAATCGAACCCATACCAAACATCACTGGGTATTAATACACCGTAGTAGAAGGTAATAGGATTCGAATAAGATCCATAGACCTCCACAGATTCTGGTTTCCAACCGTCATAGCCACTCCGGTAGAGATACAAGTAACATACCTGGTATGTACATGGTCCGGATAACTGAAACGTGTCTATTGAACATTGCTCAAATGTTCTTGAAGACGGATCATCTAGCCTCGGTACATAAACCTACAAGTAATCATTCAAATAATGTTACTGTAAAACAAGTTAATCAATATTGATTCATCAGAATAAAGTCTCTTACATGGGTAGGTCTTAGATTGTGGAAGTCTACCAATCAATACACCTCATTATGTATAGAAATTTATGTACCCATTTTCACTTTGGATGGTAGAGCTTCATGAATGTAAAGGGAACCAACTCAAATGTAACAAAGGGAAACTAAAGTGCATAGGTGAAAATCAAACTGCATGTTGGAATCTAGAAGACTATCACACACTCAAAATATATAATAGAAAAAATTATCGAAAATAGGAAGAACTCTTTCAATTCACTCATACCTAAATGGGTGTATTACATAGTATATATATAGATTTACACAATATAACCCCACTACATAATGAAATAATAAAAATAATAAAGATCTCACTCTTCTATTAATAAGAGAATTAACATACCTCAATTGCTTTGTCTCTCACTACTAGTAAATTGATAACCCATTAATACAAAAACTAAATACATAAAATATAACTACTAGAACATGAAAATTCATGTTTATTATTTTTTTTCAACACTCCCCTCAAACATGATTTTTCTTCTTAAATCTAAACAAACTTCTCACTTTTCAAAAAACATCCTCTTTGAGGGATTTGGTGAAAATATCAACAATTTAGTCGTATAACTTTACAAATTTAAGCTCCATCTCTTTCTTGGTCATGTACACTCTAACAAAATAGAACCTTGTGTCAATATATTTACTACGATAATGGAACATTGAATTCTTTGCCAATGCTAGTGACGATTTGTCATTAATGAAGATCTTTGTCGACTCTTCTTGAGGCAATTGAATTTCCAAATGGCTAGAAACACATGATATAGTCGCCACATATTTGACTTTATAAGTCGAAAAGGTTACAATAGGTTGCTTCTCTAAACTCCAAGCAAATGCAGCATATCCCATGGAAAAACATACTCGATAGTATTTTTTCTATCATCTATATCTCCGACTCAATCACTATCACAATAGTCCACAATCTTAGAATAATTAGAAAAAGAGTTTAACAATCCAAAATCAAGTGTACTTTTGATATATTTAAGAATTCTTTTCTCCACCTTCAAGTGGGTTATGATAGAAGCTTCCATATAGCAGCTTACAATACTAACACTAGAGAGAATATCCGGTCTTATGCATGTCAAGTACCTCAAGCTTTCAACTAAGCTCTTAAAATAGGTGGAATCCACATGTTCTCCATATTCATATTTTGACAATTTTACACCACATTCAACAGGTGTACCTATTAACTTATAATCTTGCATCTTGAAATTTGTAAAAATTTCCTTACGATAAACTTAAAATACATTCCTTCATTTGCTTCACTTTAATGCCAAGATAGTATGACTCGAGTCCAATGTCAACCATCTCAAATTCTTTAGTCATTGCACTCTTGAATTCTTCAAACATTCTTGAACAATTTCATGCGAAAATCAAGTCATCCACATATAAACAAGCATAAGAGTATATCACCATTCACATTCACTTTTGCATGATGAAATTATTTACTTGAAAGTACTTATCAAGTTTATTATTCAAAACCCTCAGCGCTTGCTTCAAACCATATCAAGTCACACCTGGTCTTTGACTATAGCCTTTTGCAACCAATCTTACTTTGTACCTGTCTACTTCACCATTGACATTCGTCTTTGTCTTATACACCCACTTCACTCCATTGACCTTTTGCACTCTAGGGAGTGTTGCAAGTTTCCAAGTTTCATTCCTCTCCATTGCTTCAATTTCTTTCATGATACTTGTCCACTTTTTGTCTTGTGCCGCTTTCTCATAACCTATAGGATCACAACTGACGAATAGGCAAAAAAGTATTAGATTACTAAATATTTGAGTTACCTCTTCGATTTTTTCATAGAGATCTTGAAAATTTCTCATGTGAGGTGGTCGTTCACTTGAACGTGCTTCAGATGATGATGGAGATGTTCGCACATTAGTGGGTGATGGTGGTAATGAAATGGGCAACTCCATGATCTTAGTGGACTCCTCCTCTTCTTTAAAGAAATGGAAAAAAAATTGTAATCTTCTCGTGGAGTGTTACAATCCTATTCATCAAACTCAATATCTCTACTAATGATAATCTTACCATTACTTGAGGTATAATGCTTGTAGCCTTTATTTATTAAATCATAGCCAATAAAGACAAATTTTTTACTCTTATCATCTAGTTTGGTTTGTTTCTCATATGACACATGTGCATAGCATCCAACTCCAAAGACCTACAAATGAGAGACACTTTGATTAAAACTTGCCCATTCTTCTTGTGGTGTTTTTTCTTAAACACTTCAAATGGGATACCGATTTAACAAGTAGATAATATAATCAATAACTTCCGCCCAAAACTCTATGAGCATTTTCTTACTTTTTCAACATACTCCGAGTCATGTCAAGAATGGCTCGGTTCTTTCTTTTTGGCTACACCATTTTGTTGTGGCNTATAATCAATAACTTCCGCCCAAAACTCTATGAGCATTTTCTTACTTTTTCAACATATTCCGAGTCATGTCAAGAATGGCTCGGTTCTTTCTTTTTGGCTACACCATTTTGTTGTGGTGATCTTGGAATTATTAGAGGATGGTGAATTCCATTATCTTCACAAAAAATTTTAAATTCATTTGAAGTAAATTCACCTACTCTATCAGATCTAATTGCCTTAACTTCATACCCCGTTTTGTTTTTCAACAAAAGCTTTAAATTTTTTGAAAATACAAAACACCCTTGATTTTTGTTTTAGAAAATAAATCTACATTTTTCAACTAAAATATTAATAAAGAGAAGAAAATACCAACTCGTACCAAACATTGACGGGTACATTGGCCAGCAAACATCCGAGTGAAAAAGGCGAAATGGCTTGGTTGCTCTTGAAATTACTTCTTTGGGAAAGCTTTTTCTAGCTTACTTTCCAACAAGACATCCTTCACAAAGTTAACCCGAGTGGTTGATAAAAGACAATCCTTTCACCATCTTATTTCTAGACAACAACGTTAGTCCTCCAAAAATTCAAGTGTCCAAGCCTTAAGTGCCATAACTAAGAAGAATCTTTAACACATGTTTTCAAATTTTTTGTCACATCACTTTGAATATTCAACAAAAATATTCTATTTCTTATCATAGGCACTTTAGCAACCAAATTTTCATTTTCATTTCTTATTGAAAGATTATGATTTTTCATGCAAATATCAGAACCTTCTCTAAAAGTTGTCATAAGCTTAAAATATTATTTTTCATATTTGACACATAAAAAATATTAGAAATAACTTGATGTCTTCCATCTTTCAAACGAATCAAAATATTACATCTTCTCATTATCAGAATTTGAGAAAAATCTCTAAAAGTGACTTTTCTACTCACTGATTCATCAAACTCTACAAACATATCTTTGCCTCCACACATACGATTACTGGTACTGCAGTCAAAGTACCATACGTTATTATCTCCCTTTTCCTCTTTGTATGTCAACAACAAGAACGACTCTACCTCTTCACCTTTGTCTTCAACAAAGTGTACTCTTTTTCAACAAATTCATTTCTACACTCGAAAGCAAATTGACCATATCGATGACTATTATAACATTGAATATGGATTTATCATACCTCTCTCCATATGATTTTGAATTCTTGCCTCTTTCACATCCTTTTTCACAATGTAATTTTTGGCCTCTTTTTTCTTTGTTATACAATTTTTTGCCAAAGCTTTCTCCTCTACCTTGACCATGTCCTCCACGTCTACGTTCATGCCCTCTACCTCTTTGACTTTCATCTTGTCTTATTTCTTTTTCTTTGAAAGAAAACTTGATTTGTGCTCTTACTTCTTCTTGCTTAGTGTTCTTCATAGACTAACAACGATCACATGAGTTTGTTAATCGTCATTGTATCTATATCATTAGATTTTTCAATGGCTACAACAATAAAGTCAAAAATTTGAGATCTAATGAACGAAAGATTTTTTCTATCACCCGAGTATCATGATAGTGATCATCACCATACGTTCTCAAATTTTTCACAACAACAAAGACTCTTGTGCCATAATCTAAAATTAATTTGGATTCCTTCATGTGTAAAGCCTCAAATTTAACCTATAGAGTTTGGAGGTGAACTTCCTTGACTTTTTAACTCCATTATGAGTGGTTTGAAGAACATTCCATGTTTTCTTTAATATGGTTGCATTAGGAACCTTTTATAATATGACATCATCCACGCATTGATAGATGACTAAAATAGCTCTTTGATCATTCTTCTTTGTAGCTTGAAAAGTTTCTTTTTCGACTTGATTTAAGGAAACTTCATCTTCCAGTGTCGTATCACCATTTATTACACTCTCCCACAAGGCTGAGATCCAAGAATCTCACTTCATGCAAATACACCAAGTCTCATAATTATCTTTAGTGAACCAGAGCATTTGAAATAAAAGCATTCCATTCGATATCTCTTTGTCTCTCTCTATTTGATACTCAAGCTTAACTCTGATACCACTTTGTTGGAATCTAGAGGATTATCACATACTCGTAAAAAAAATATAATGAAAGAAATTACTAAAGATAGAAATAACTCTTTCAATTCACTCATATCCAAATAGGTGTATTACATAGGATATATATAGACTTATACAATATAACCCCTCAATTTTAAGGGTGTTAGTATAAAGCCAAAAGAAAATCAAGCCCCTTCTCATTTAGGAAGAGAAGTTGAAGTGGGCTTCCTAAGGAAACCTCATATTTGACTGCAATGAGTCCATTCACAATGAATGTTTAATAATTACTAAAACAATTAAGCAATGGTAGTTTTGTAAGTTTAACTCGTCACTCATTTATCATAATCATCAAAATATCACGAGATAATTATATATAGTGAAAAAGACAAAAAGACTCAAACAACTATCAATTAAGAAATTAGGTTAAGAGAGTGAGAGGTGATTATGAAGTTTTAATAATTCTTGTCATTTATCAATTCAACAAAAGGTTTAGTTGTTACAGCACGCAAACATCCCCACCCCCACCCCCTTCTCTCTCTCTCTCTCTCTTCTTTTGATCATTACTATACCACAATTACTTTGTCTCTCTCTATTAGCAAATTGATAACTCACTAATACAAAAATTAAATGCATAAAATATAACTCCTAGAAAATGAAAAGTCATATTTAATGGTGGATATAAGGCAAAAACTGAAAGAGGGGCATACAGAATTCTTGGTAGAACTCACACTGGAACTATGCTAATAGGGTACTCAGGTCAAATGGCAACCTCCTCCCACTTGGTTATATAAGCATGGGCTGTCCAACATGCCTTCAAAGTAGCAGGAAAAGAGGAACCATATTGTCGACTCTGATTTGAAAGGTTCTCAGATTCTCTAAATAAGGAACAAAGTTGCTTTCTAAGGGAAGTTAGAGCAATTCACAGACACATTTGGCATTATGCACAAAAGTTCCCTTCAATATACCTAGGTTAGGGGTTGTTAAACAACCCTGTAGCTTGCTGCTTCAAAACATAATAGGCCATCCCGGCTCGCTCTTCAATTTAGAGCCACCAAGAGATCAGGCAACCAAGCTGCTCATTGGATTGCTATTTAGGCAAAGGTTGACACCCTCCCTCTGGGCTACTGACCCACCAAGTAATCTGCTGGAAACTCTCTCAAAAGTGGCTAGACTCTAGAGAAGGAATTGGCTAACCTTTCAATGGGCTTGCAGCTCCAGCACTAGACCTTTTTTTGCTTTGTTTCCCTTTCAGGTGTATTGGTTCACTCTTTAATGCAATTAAGCAATTTGACCCAAAAAAAAAAAGGCACTACTAAGAAGGGATGTCATTGTTAAAATCCCACAATCATCTTTTAGAGCAAGCAAATACGAATTCCCTATTTGATGTTAGCAGTGGCCATTAGGCCACTCGCTCCCAACCCCATTGTTGGACCTTAAGGTCAGGGGTTTGAATCTCGCCCTCCTCTCCCTGTAATAATACCATACCAACAAAAAAAAAATGCAAATTCCCTACAAACAATGCCAATCTCGATTTGTTTCAAACACAACACACTAAATCATTATTATCAAACCATTTACAATATACCATTCACGCTGAGGAAATATTTGTTAAAAATTTCTATTTATGAATTTTTTTTCCCTCCGTGGATTGGTTCTAAAATTATGTGGAATAGAAGATTTGGGTTTGTGAAGAGAACCTGGTAGCCATAAGCATCCCCAAAGGCCAGACTGATCTGGTCATACGTGTACTTGGGTGAAGAGCAGCTTGTGGTTATAATCACCGTGTAAGAACAGGCACCCAGATTCTACAAGTCAAAAAGAAAAGCTAAAGTGATATAAATGCTTTTCACTTAAAAGGGCATCTCTCATCACTCTCACACACAAACATATTGCATAAATTTGTACATCAAGAACTCTCTCTCTCTCTCTCTCTGTTTCTTTAAATATAGAAGGTATACAAGAATAGAGGAAATTATCCTACCTGGGTAGTGTTGACTTTAATGGATGACAGAGGTTGGGGCCATGAAACAATGGAACTTGCACTTGAGGAGGTGAAGATGACGGCGAGGAGGAGAAGAAAATACACCACTCGGACCATTTTCCACAAAACCACTCCTCTTTGACGAATTGCAGAAAAAATAGATATAAAGGCCGAAGAGTCTTGTATATTTTGTCGCCAATGGTGGTGGGACACTGCTACTATTATGAACTCTTTTGTATTCTCTATCTAGAACAAAGTACCAGTTGATTCGAGGGCCGGCTGGTTGGAAGGTTGGATGAGCATAAATTTGTGTGTTCCATTAATCGGCTCTGACTCAATTTAACCCACTCAATTAGACATGGGTTTCTGTTCAAAATTAAAAAAAAAAAAATAATATATATAGAAATGGATTATTATTTAACCCATTCTCTGTTTAGAAACATATAAACATGTTGATTTTACCGATAGTATGATGTTATTGACATATAATTGAAAATATATTAGATTATGAGTGACTTTTGATATTAAATGTTTTTTTTTAATATCAGTCCACCGATTATAATGTATTATATTTTCAAATAATGCTAGTGTTATGGATAAATTTATGCAATATGTTCCACATAGATGTAACTATAATATATACATGTTTTTTTTATAATGTATTAGATGTTCTTCAATGATGTCATCAATGACATAGGCTTAGATAGTGACTTCGATTTAGGGGGTCTGTTCCATTGATACTGAGGTTCTGGAGTTCAAATTTCAAACCATTTTTCTCCCATGGGAGAGATGAGGTATTGATTGGCGTTTCAGTTACGGAACCCACCCAAAATCAGAGAAAATTCAAATACCACAAAATTTTATCATGCTGGTACTAAATGGTATTTGAATCCTTTCTCTTGTTTTTTTTGATAAATAAAAAAAAAGTGGAGGGAATGAAGAGTGCTCAACAACCCCTTTGATAGCTCTCATTAGTGACATCATAAGACTTATAATCGCGTCTGGAACACTGCTTGGGACCAGATTTAATTGGACTAGTATAACAGCCAACCAACAAACCCTAATGGAGACTCCAAGACTCGAACTCTCAATCTTAAGGTAAAGAGTAAGTCTGGTACCCCTACTAGACCACCCTACTTGATGGTCCTTCTCTTATCTTTTTAAGTAATACTATTAATATATAATTTATTGACCTAATTTACTATAAATATTAGATTGATCGTGAGTCATATCAAACATTGAAAATTGATGTTAATCTAACGGCGATAATAAAATTATAGTAATTTTTAGTTATGGACTGAGAGAGGTCGAGGTGGTCCATAATAAAGGGATGGCTATTTGCTTAATGGGTAAGAAACCCAAAGTATGTGCTTTAGAGAAGGAGAATGACCAACAAGAAAAGGAAAAATTGAAGAGAAAAATCTAGGGAAGACTTCTCAGTTCTCAATCACAGCAAAATTTCAACCACAGGGAAAAAGAAAATTAAAGAAGACAATGGCATCAAGTGGCTGCATTGAAATGGATTTGGATCTATTCTATTATATATTCTTTAAATTTTTTTAATGATAAATCTTCGGTCACTTGTAATGAGTTTCATTTGAATTTATGATAACAATACAACAAAAACTTAAAATGTAACTTGATCAATCACTCTTATTGATTTCATTGTGAATCCCAAAATTGATTAAAATCCACTACTTATTCAATGATTATGATTAATTAAATCTACATTTTATTTCGTAGACTTCACCACAATGAGCTTGTTTATGATAAAAACAGTAATTAGATTAATAGTTCAGTGACCAAAACAAACTGACATAGTGCATACAATACCAAATACACCACAATCCCAAAAGCATATGGCATCAATGGTATCCTAGTCCCTCATCTTCATAGTATAGGGATTCGACTCTAACTGATGTAGTGTTAAGTGACCACAACAAACTGACA